CCTGAAAGCAGACAGGAAACACAGACAGGATTCCATGCAACCTTCAGGTGAAAATGAAGACCCCAAAATGTGAGTATCAGTCACATGGAGGCAGGACTCAAAAGGCTGAATTTTGCCTGAAACTCTCAGACTGAAGAGGAAAAAAATTGTATAGGTCATCTGGATGGGTTCTTCTTTAATGAAACGTTTCGTCTCTCCTCCAAGAGACTTCTTCAGTCTGAGAGTTTCAGGCAAAATTCAGGCTTTTGAGTCCTGCCTCCAGGTGACTGATACTCACATCACATGGCCATCGTTCACAGGTGACTCATACTCACATCACCTGGCTATGTGATGTGAGTATCAGTCACCTGGAGGCAGGACTCAAAAGCCTGAATTTTGCCTGAAACTCTCAGACTGAAGAAGTCTCTTGGAGGAGAGACGAAACGTTTCATTAAAGAAGAACCCGTCCAGAGGACCTATTCAATTTTTTTTCCCTTTTCATTAAGTAAAGTGTAAAAATTAATCTGTAAAGCTTTTGATGAATGAAAACGTTGAAATCCAACAGCTTTTATTTTGGTGCAACTTGGATACTTCAAGGTCATGTCACTCAGGAAGTTAAGTGTGCATGTGTGTGTGTGTGTGTGTGTGGGGGGGGGTATTTTCTAGGAACATAGTTCAATTCTGCACCACAATCAAGTAACTATCAGTTGTTATGAAAACAGTGTGTATCAAACATAAATTTAAGATTTGCTAAATGCCCATCTAAACGCCTTGAAATTGGCCTCTGTCTCTTTAAGAACTTCTTACCATTTCTGACACTCCCACTTCAGCACATATCCAAACAATGCTTTGTGTGGCAGGAGCTTGGCTCCAGACTGAGCTCCAGGGAGGAGCTTTCTACCAGCAAGCATTTAGGCAGCTCCACATGGCTACCACTGAAGACTCAAGGATTTCTTAAGCATGCATGAATGAGTCAAAGCAACACTCTGTACATGTTTTTTGATGAAGCAATTACTTTATAACATGATATAAAACTCAAAAAGTTAATTTTACACAATACACCCCCCCCCCCACACCCCCCAGGCAAAATGACAGAACCCTTAGACTCTTATCTTGACTGAATAAGTTAACTAATACCAGCAGACAGGTTTTATAACTTAAAACATTTTAGGCACAAGCCAACAAATGGTGTTGCAGCATTTCTAGACCCACAAAATAACGTTATCAAAAATTCTAATTAGCATAATAATCACTCTTCACATTCGAATATTATGTACAGTCACGTAATGTGGTCGCCTTCTCGACTTCAGTGTAATCTACTGAGGATAAATCCCATCCAACCTGAAATGTGACACTGGGTAAACAAAATTAGCATATGAAACATCTGTTTGTATAAGCAACTTTATCTTTGCAATTGTTTTCCAGACATAAATTTCCAAACTAAATTCTGTCTCCAAGAAGTCAGACCACAAACACAGAGGACGAGTTCAAAGCAGTTTTAATTTTGTTCGAAGTTTTAGCACAGTCATTTACAAGTCTAAATGTTTCTATTGTTCATTTTTCATCTTCATGCTTTTGCTGCTGTTTAAACAGGAACACAGAATAATAATGAAAAACCTAATTCTAATAAAAAAAAACCTATACATATTTATAATCCGAGTCAATGACATGTTACAATAAGAGTCCTTTTGGACACTTTATTTTTCATAGGTTGGGAAAATGCCAGTCATCTCCACGTTAAACAGATAGTGAAGCTTCGTCTCCCCCTCAGAAACAACAATTTGTGTTTTCTGCTTGTGATCTCCTCAACACAAAGCCTTGCTGTGTCTCATGTTGTTAGCGCAGGTCCGACCGATGTTGGCCCCTTCCAGGAGCARGTCAGACAGCCGGTCCAGGCCGAGGCAGGTGGTGAGGGGACTGATGAGGCCGTAAAGACCCCCTAAGGTGATGCTAAGAGGCCAGCCAATGCACAGCAGCACCACCAGCCATACGATGCACCAGACACATGAACCACAGCTGGCCATTCTGTTCTGAAGGAAACACAAAACGATTAGATCTGATCGAGTCAAAAACAGGTTTTTTTTTGCAAAGCTGGATGCTTTTAGTTGAGCTGATGAACACCCATGACAGGGCACTTCAGATTGGCCGATAGAGTTTCCTGGCAGCAGCAACACTTCTGTCATGATGGAAGATTATCAGATCGAGATGTGAACTGTTGATGATCTCAAAGTGCTTGTCAGGATTAGACAGTTGTTTTAATAAAGCCTGGGAACTTCAAGCAATGACCAGCAGGCCTGTCTGTCCACTGAGGTCAACTGACAGCTGAATGACACAAGACCGTCACATTACTCACTTCCTAATAGCAGAGCAGCAAAGATCATGAGGAACTTTTACAATAAGCAGAAATGTCAACACAGATAAACAGCAGCCAGGAGTCTGACGTGCATCTATCCTGAGTTTGTTCACTTTTTATATTCTGTCCAGTAATGTTTCTTATAACAGCATCTCCCCTCTCCACAAAATGCTACATTAAGGAGAAGCAGTAAGACTTGAAATATTTTCTGAGACAAAAATCCACCAGTAAAATCTGCCCAGAGGCCTGGCCTTGAAGTTAAGATAGTAGAACCGATGGTTTTATGAGTGTGAAAGAGTTGTGCACCATCAGACTGATTTGTTAGGCTTGTTAAATCTTCAAGACACAATGGTGGGCTCCTCCCCTGCAGCCACGGCTGCTTTTACTCTGTATAATAATTCACTTCCTGTTGTGACACTGCTGTCATGTAGGGTTGGTCAATAAGTGACACATTCTATATAAAATGTCTTATGATGGATCCTGTGATCTTGTCAAATCTTCACATAAAGTGTAGTAAGACACACACATGTGTATTTCTATTCTTATTAGAACTGTGTATTGACTTCCATTCATTTCTGTAGCTTAGCTCTGACCATTGCCCCAAACAAACAAATGACATTTCACCGTATTAGAACCAGGCATTGGTACTCAAAAAGACTAATAGTCCTGACAGAAAAGGTCCTAAACAGGTAACAAAAAAACAGGTAGGACACACACACACACACACACACACACACACACACACACACACACACACACACACACACACACACACACACACA